ACAGGGCTTCAAAAACCAATTCTAAGGAGGAAACATCCAATCATATCCTAGAGAATCTAGTAAATAAACATAATAAAGAAATCTAGTAAATAAACCTTTATAACTTTCCTAAAATAAGGATCTAAACATGGAAATTATGCATATAATAATCTTCTGGATGTCCCATCTCGCTTACAAATACAAGTTAGTTTTAGCAGAAAAATATATATATAATACTTACATCATTGGCGCCAATATCGGGATTTCTGTGAAAAGTTGATCCATTTTGATCCAGATCTTTCCTATCAAACAAATGTGAATCTAAATCAACATTCTGAGGTCCATCAGATCCAGCGTCAGTTAAGCGATTCCCATGGTCCACCAGATAAGAGTTTATACTTCCATGGTCCAAAGCTTTCTCAAAATCCACAATGCCAGCTTGGAGCTTTTCAATTTCCAATCTTAAGATACCCTTCACTGGTTTATGAACCTTACGCTTGGGATCCTAATAATGGGAGAAAATCAGTTCAATGAGAAACATAAAATATCAGAACAAATTATGTTCAGGTTTTAAACATTAATCGATGCAATAGCATGAAAATTGATGTGGCCCTCTCCAAAAAATAAGAAGAGACAAAGGAGGTAGAATAGGAAGGAGAAAAGAAAAAAGGGGAATGACAAATTAAAAGAAATAGTGAATGAAAGATTAACAATTTAAGCAAGTGCTACTTCAAAAAAAGGAGAGCGGATTAACCTGGATCGAGTCCTCTGTATAGCATTCTTTAACTTTGTTTAGATTTGACACTTCAACCACAACAGAGTTTCCATTTGAGTAGCCGAGCTTTCCATCTAATGTGATCTTTGCAAGCGGTTCAGCAGCACCCTCCTGAGAATTTGAACCTGACATGCTAGTAGTGAGTGGACTGCTGGGGGATGCAGATCCACCAGAAGCAATGGTAACACCACTATCAAAAAGTGGGATGATTGCCAAGGCAAAGGACTCCCTATAAGGCATGATACGAGACCAGACTTGCAGTTTTTGCTTCTCCCTTTCTGTCAGATGAACCTGTTCAGGTAAAAACTTATGTAATAGAGAAACAAAAGCCCACTGTAGCAGTTGAGTGTACAGGTGAATAACTAACACAGAGACGAATAGGTACATAGTGTGTGTGTGTGTGTGTGTGTGTGTGTGTGTTAAAGGTATTATTGCTTAAACAACGTTTTATGAAAAGTAATCATACAGATTCCTTGTTTAACTGAGTAAAAACTCGGAAATCAGATTGATATTTTCCACTATCCCGTCTTTCAGGTCAAACAAACGGAAACTGAAGTCAACTTTCAAGTTCAAAAAAAAAAAATTGATGGATCTAAGCCCCCGTTTGGCCCCCATTTTTTCAAATTAAAATGGGGGGAATAGTATTTTTTTGGAGAAGAGTGGTTGAAAAGGAAAAAAAAGTTTTTGGTTAACATGTAATATCATTTTATGGAAGATTGAGTGATTGAAAATATGAGAGAGAAAAATGAAATTTAATTTAATGAGGGCCAAACGGGAGCTAATTTTCTTGTGAAACATTATTTCAATCAGCTTATGCATCTGAGGAACTAAAATCGTCAGTTTAAATTAATAAATGTTCTCTGCTTACTGGTTCTTTACGTGAGTAAACAGAGGTAGTCACGCCGCCTTCTTCAGTAGCTGACTTTTCTAACTGGATAAGCAGACAGACTGATGCTGATGGAGCATCTAGATGGAAAATACAACGTGCTTCAGAAGAACTGCTAGTCTGTTGATGTTAACATAAGAAAGAGTAAATTTCTTACAGCATTGACATCATGAACCAGAACCCAATAAATTGCAAAGATGATCGTTTTTTTTCTTTTTTTTTTTTTGTTTTTCCTTTCTAGGGAGATGGTGGTGATGGTGTGGGGTGTTGAGGAGGGCAGTTGACAAAGAAAGCAAAATTCATTTCCAATAATTTCCAAACAACAAAAATGAGTGAAAACAGGAAAGTAATACTAGCTTACATCATGTATTTCAGCTGGTGACATGCAGAAAATGAAATCTTCAGAAAGTTTTTCCCTTCTCTCCCTATTATATAAGCAAATTGTGCCATAAAATGGCTCTACAAAAAAAAATATAAATAAATAAATAAAAATTCTGTATCTCAGCTATAGAACGGTGTGTAGCTCAAAAACTAAATCAAAAGGAACAGTGGAAGAAACAAGCCAGCAGTGACTAGAAATGTACAGACTCACCAACAAGCCCAGCCTGAAATGTCAAGGATAACACTTTCACTGCAATCTTTAGCCCACTGCAACAAAAGACATATTGTGAGAGAGCATATCGAGAATACCAAAAAAACGAGAGAGAACAAAGACAGATGTAAGTAGAGATCACACACATGCAGAGAGAGAGAGAGAGAGACCTGGTATACTGAGATGTGTTATTTGCGGGAATTCTTTGCCCAAAGATCATTAATCTCTCATTTTCCCAGTCAAAAACAGGTTCGTAAGCTGGCAAAGGAGATTCCCCAAAATGCTGCAAGTAACTTACAATAATGTAAAAATATTTAAGCAGTATCACACAAGCCAGAAACATGAACTACGAAAAATATTTCTCAGAGAAGACCTTAGAATTCCCCAAAATAGTGCAAGTAACTTAAAATAATGTAATAATATTTAAGCTGTATCACACATGCTAGATGCATGAACTACGAAAGTATTGCTTGGGGAAGACCTTGCAAATTTTTGCATTTGATGACTCGTAGACGTTTTCTTCTGAAAAGTGATGCCTAGATGTACTAGGCATTTCTTCATCAGCGGAATCTTCTATCTTAGTTCTTCTAGCATTAGCAAGATGCATTTCTGAAAATCATTCAGAAAAACATTATTAGTTATTGCACATATACCTAGTATTGTGAAAATACAAATATTCAGCTCCCTTCTATGTGATGATTTTTCAATCATTCACAAGGTTGCAACTCACGACCATGCAATAGAATTAGATGGGGTGGTGTAGGGTGATAACCACACAACACTAACAAAGCATGCATAAAGCGTTTTGTATTTTAACAGATACTAAGGATTCAAATCTATTTTGTAAGAATAATGTAAAAAATTATGATCATGCTTGCTAGAAAAATGATGATATAACATAACATCTCCTGCACTATTGAATCCGTAAAATGTTCTCCTAATGGGAGTGTAGAATTATTGTCTACTAACCTGTTTCAATATCGGTATCAGGTCCCTCGAATATCCGATTGTGAAATGAGATGGGGGCAATGCTTTCATAGTGCCCGTACTTGTAATCATCTTTAACCCATTCAGAACCATAGCTTTGAACAAGTTCATTCAAATGTGGCCACTGCTCCAAGTTTTCATCAAGCTGGAATAAAATGCCAAATCAATAGCGCTACAGTTTTGCTGATCAAATACTTGAGGAATCAGCCTATTTCGCATATAATTCAGGACACTGAATACCAGTGCAACTGACAAGGCTATGCAGCATTTGCAGGTAGATAACTTCAGCACGGAACCAGTACCATAATAAAGCCACTAAACCTAAAGTTCTAATACAAGTTGGGAAGCAGATATTATCTTATGACAATTGATAGTGCCAGAAAGATGAAATTTCAAATCTCAAATGATTAATTTTAGACAAATAATTTTTTTCTTTTTTGGAAGTAAAGTACATCCAAATGTGCATGAACATTAGATATCTAACAGTGTATATGTCAGACTCACCGGTGGGTCCAACTTAATACTAGTAGAAAATGATTGGCGAGGAATTCTCCGAAAACGAAGCCCGTTGGCATTATCCATAGCCTGAAACCAATGTTAGGGAAAAAATTGTTAGTACAATCAGTTACTGATTTCTTTATCTAGCTCACTTTGGAAGTTGATATTTTGGGGGGGAAATTGCATCGCTCCTATTGCTCGAGTAGAAAGTTACTGCATAGCCTTTTATTATAATTGCAAAATCAGTCGCCAACAATCTAGACCATCCAAATACACTTTAATTCATAACCTTCATGCTAACCATCCAAATACACTTTAATTCATAACCTTCATGCTAACATGCCTCACTTCAAATTTCTAGACACCGGTCCAAGTCGAGAAACGTAATTTAGGCCCTGTTTGGAGGGCATTTTTTGGGCCAAAAAAATTCATTTCCCTACCGTTACTACCTGCTGACAGCCGCAACTATTGACCATTACACTCTCATGTGGGGCCCAGGTGACCAACAAACGGTCCAAAAATTCATTTTCTTCTTCCAAAAAATGCCCTCCAAACAGATGCTTAATCTTCATAAAGCTGGATATGTAAGAACTACCTGACAATTTAACTGAAATTTTGATGATTTCTGGTGCCGGAGACTCATTTTACAACTCCAATTACCAATAGTACATTTATTTCTATTTATTTATGTAATGGTAGCATTTATAGTAGCCAAATAACTGTTTTCCCGCTATATCAACACGTGTTTAACATATTATAGTTATTATTATGAAGGCCTTGGAAAAATATAGAAAGAAAAGATTCAAGTACATTGAGATAGCAAATCAAAACCGACAGCAACAAACAAAATCATAATAATTATAAATGTTTAAACAGCAGTACAACCCAGTAAACATGAGGAATTCCACCAAAAACAAAAAAGCAGTGTATTCATAGGAAATGCATAAGCTTCAATCCAAAAGCCCTGTTTGATTTGGCTAAAGAAGTCGATAAAGATCTAAATCAAAGTCAACTGCTAATTGTAACCACACATTTCTTGGCCACAACTTTAATCAAATTTTTAACTACGAATTTCATCAATTTTTACCAAAATCTACTAAAAATCTGATTCTCAGCAAAACCAAACATGGGCTAAAAATCAGAAAATGGGACCTTTTCTTTTTTCAAAATATTAACTCAAGTCTACTAAATCCAAAACCCTCAAAGGTCCTGAGGCTGAATATTAGAATGAACTAAGAACGGAACACAAATGTAGCTACGAATTAAGTTCAGAAACGCCGAGGATTGAAAAAAATTCCTAATACATAGTACCACAATGCACAAAGTCAAAATAAGAAATCGGACAATAAAACAATGACCCAGCAAAACAGTCTGAAAAGTACAATCAGTTACTGATTTCTTTATCTAGCTCACTTTGGAAGTTGATATTTTGGGGGGGAAATTGCATCGCTCCTATTGCTCAAGTAGAAAGTTACTGCATAGCCTTTTATTATAATTGCAAAATCAGTCGCCAACAATCTAGACCATCCAAATACACTTTAATTCATAACCTTCATGCTAACCACCCAAATACACTTTAATTCATAACCTTCATGCTAACATGCCTCACTTCAAATTTCTAGACACAGGTCCAAGTCGAGAAATGTAATTTAATCTTCATAAAGCTGGATATGTAAGAACTACCTGACAATTTAACTGAAATTTTGATGATTTCTGGTGTCGGAGACTCATTATACAACTCCAATTACCAATAGTACATTTATTTCTATTTATTTATGTAATGGTAACATTTATAGTAGCCATATAACTGTTTTCCCGCTATATCAACACGTGTTTAACATATTGTAGTTATTATTATGAAGGCTTTGGAAAAATATAGAAAGAAAAGATTCGCGTACATTGAGATAACAAATCAAAACCGACAGAAACAAACAAAATCATAATAATTATAAATGTTTAAACAGCAGTACAACCCAGTAAACATGAGTAATTCCACCAAAAACAAAAAAGCAGTGTATTCATAGGAAACGCATAAGCTTCAATCCAAAAGCCCTGTTTGATTTAGCTAAAGAAGTCCATAAAGATCTAAATCAAAGTCAACAGCTAATTGTAACCACACATTTCTTGGCCACAACTTTAATCAAATTTTTAACCACGAATTTCATCAACTTCTACCAAAATCTACTAAAAATCTGATTCTCAGCAAAACCAAACATGGGCTAAAAATCAGAAAATGGGACCTTTTTTTTTTTCAAAATATTAACTCAAGTCTACTAAATCCAAAACCCTCAAAGGTCCTGAGGCTGAAGATTAGAATGAACTAAGAAGGGAACACAAATGTAGATACGAATTAAGTTCAGAAACGCCGAGGATTGAAAAAATTCCTAATACATAGTACCACAAGGCACAAAGTCAAAATAAGAAATCGGACAATAAAACAATGACCCAGCAAAACAGTCTGAACTAGCAACATCCCGATGCTTCCCGGCCCTCACAGACGCCGGCATTGCTTCACCAATTGCAAGGGATCAATGAGAAAAAGCTATTACCTTAGCAATGGGCAACACCAAGAGAGGGTTGCCGTCCGATTTCACGTTGGAGGAAATGGGTCTGGGTGCTGGGCCCTTCGATTTGTAGTGAGGCGCGAGCCGTCCTGGTCTATGGAACCGCCGGTGTCTACTGTATAGCGTAATTCCCACGTTACAATCAAAAAATCGTAGGTGTGAAGTTATAATCTGAACCCAGTCCTTTAAAAAAAATGAACCCAGAGAAATGACAGTACCAGTGCTAGTGCGTAGTGCTCCAGCAACGAAAAGATTGTTTATGTACGGACGGTTAGATGGTGAAAAGGATAATTGACACAAAATTCTTTTAACCTTTATGTGTATTGTGAAATGTCTCCTTTTTTTTCTTTTTCTTTTTTTTTTTTTTTTTTTTTTTTTGGTGTACAATTTCCTTAGATGGTTCAAACCTTACAAAATACTCTTTACTATCCAATTTCATTAGTTTAACTGTAGTATGAAGCATGGGGGAGGATCGTCAATCCAATATACGAATTCGTTGAAATAATGTGGTCAGGGGAATTGGTAGCAATGCTAGGCGGCGTTGTCGAAGGCGCTCCATTAATGCAAGTTCTTAATACACTCTTCATCCTTTTGTTACTAAGACATCCAAGCAATCTTGTCAAACTATGCAAAGTGACAAAAAAAAATCTATCAATTTAGACGCTCTAGTCTTTCTCGTCAACTTTGACTAGATTAACCGTGGACATTTTCCACTATGATCATTTTATACAACTGAATATTCATATCTAACAAAAAATTTTGGAGTGGAAGTTTTATTTTTATTTAAATTAGTTGATTGGCTAGAAAAAAAAAATAGTGGGATGTATACCCGAAAGTACTAGGACCATACTTCTAACCTTTGATATAATTTGAGTATGTGGTTAAGTGCATGATATTTGAGTAAAAGTTGGAATATACGTCCAAGAATTTTTCTTATTTATTTTATACCAATTCAACGTTTATTGCATTTTATAATATTGAGGATTCGATGTAATTGTGATACCGTGGATAAGTGCTTGCTTAGAGAAGCCTAGATAAAAGGGACTCGTATTTCAATCGAGAATTGATTTGTCCATGAAATAATAGAGAACGTCACTTTGTTCTAATAACTTCATATTGCTAGATACTCTACCATTTTTTATATGCAATTTTTCTTGTTCGTTACGAAAGAATCTCAGAGATATTTACACTAGTACACTTGAAAATGTATTGGACATAACCAATATGTGTAGTTTGATATTTATATCAAGACCGTGTGAAGAAATTAAGAGCCTGTTTGGGGCTCATTATTGGTCCAAAAAAATGAAAAATCTTACCGTTGGAGCACACAAATTCAAGGCATTGTGAGAGAGAAGTCAACAGGTGGGGCCCTTCAAGGGTAAAAATTCTTCTAATAATGCAGAAATAATGTACATCAAACAGCCTCTAAACTCGTACCGTGATAAAGGCTTACTCGAAAGATTTTGGCATGCCTATGAATGCGATCAATAGATATGATCAAATATTTTGATACACAAGACAAGCAAAGTAGCAATCAAATATTCGTATTCGGGAGATGCTATCCAACCCGATAGATAAATGAGTTCACTTAAGTGTTTTTATTGATAAATTGTGAAATGAGCACGGTATTTAATGACAACTAAATTAATTTTGTGATTTGATCACAAGTAAACTGTTAAAGAAAGTAAGAGCTTAAGTAAGAAAATAATCAGAAGAACAAAATGGTCATTTAAGTCCAATCTAGTTAGTCAATGATCTACAGGGTAAGACGTATATTTGGCAAGTCAATAGGATGTAATTATAGGAAACTAAAATAAGATTGCCACTGTGATTTCACAAAAATTGATAGTGCTTTTTCATCTTTGGTGGAGTCAATGAATAATAATAATAATAATAATAATAATAATAATAATAATAATAATAATAATAATAAGCCCTTAATCACGTAAACTCAAAACTTTGCCTTATTTTTTTAACTACAAATTCTCCGTTAATATACTATTCTAAAATGCGTTCTTAGAAAATTACGGGGCTCAAACATGCTCTAAGTATACTATATGGTATTGGATTGATCTAAACGTAATTTAATTAGAGAGGATTAAATTATCTAGTTTTGATCGAGTTCCTTTGATAGCTTCATGAAAGTCTTGGTCTTGATTGAACCAGTGATGGAAGTTCAAAAACTGCATGTGCAAAAATGCCAAAATAATTTCAAAGGCAGAACAATCTTGCTGTACATACATTCTAATTGATATTTTGCTTTACATTGTACCATGCGACACATAATTTTACCATTGATATCTCCAATACTTAAAAAAATAAATGACCTCGATTTTGCTACCTATTCAAATGTCATCCCAAGTTGAACATAAATAATGTACAAGTAGCATAATTATAGGTATAATCAGGGGTGGAGAACAAATATAAGACCTAATTGGCGGAGACCAAAATTAAGGAATTTCTTTTTCGACATCGAGCTATTTTAACTTTAATTCAGATCAATTTTTGTTCTTGACAGTACTATTAATTAAATTAATGTACAGAGTTCGTAATTATTTAAATTTAAAATTCATAATCTCTAAAATATGGAGTGCAAATGAACCCGATTTAACTTATGATCGTAGTCTCCTGTGTTGGTTTGATTTGTAAAGATTGTGTATGTCTCGTGTTGATAATACAACAGACTCTCTAAAAAAGAAATTCGTTCATATATTAAAAGCTTAGAGGTTTAGTGTTTGATCATCCTAAAGATGCTAGTACATAAATTTCAAGCACTGGACAAAAATTATAAATTCAAGTTGATATCAGTAATTGACCTTCTGAAGAGGATCGCATTCTTGAGGTCGACGGCAAACTAAATAGTTATCGTTAGTTATTTTTTCACTACCTAATTAACTTGAACATGTGGAGAAGTCCCAAATTAGCGGGCACTTTCTTTGACCATGCTCTGAAGGGATGCATGGAGGACTCCATATAGTTTCACATCGACTTTTATGGCCTTCAAATCTCTTGTATGGTTATCTTTCTCTTCATGGGTAAATCCATAAATGGCCACTCAACTTTATACTTAATGTCACCATGATCACCCAACTTAATTTTGATTCACTAAAGCCACCCAACTTCATATAACATTTCATCATGGCTACCAGTTTAATATAACGTTTTATCATGGCCATCCAACTTCTTTTCATCCTCTTTCACTAATCTTAAAAGGGGTAAACAAATAGCTTCGTATTATATATATATAAGTTTTTACCCCTTTTAAAATTAGTGAAAAATGTGAAAAAAAGTTCAGTGTCCATGGTGAAATGTTATATAAAATTGGGCGGTCATAATGAAATAAAATCAAATTGGGTGATCATGATAAAACAAAATCAAATTGAGCAGTCATGATAACACTAAGTATAAACTTAGGTGACCATTGAAGGATTTAACCCTTCCGTTTACCCTTCTTACCCCTTATTCCTCTACCTTTCCCTCTATTCTCCCTAGGGGTGTCAATGGGTCGAACCGGCTCGCGAGCCGAAATTCTTGGTTTGAGCTCGAGCTCGGCCCAGGTAAAATGTCCGAGCTTTCTTCCGGGCCCAAGTCGGCTCGAGCAAAGCTCAGCCAAAAAAATTAGACTCAACTTAAGTTTTCGACTTGGACCTTTTTGAACCGAACAGAGCATGCTCATTTTTTTTTTCAATAATATATAGGCAACAAGCTGTTGCCTTAAAAAAGACAGCAGATAGCAGCCTTTAATTTTTATTTATTATTGTTTATTTTTTTTATAAAGGCCCGTGAGCCACAAGGGCTAGCTTGGGCTTGGCCCGGGAACCCTAAATTGGGGCTCGCTCGAGTCAATAAACCCGATTGCCATCACTAATTGTCCCCTTGAAACTATGATAAAACCAAACATTGTTAAACTAGACCAGATGCCATTAATTCAATCATCACATAAGCATAAGTTGCATTTTCCATGTTTTTATCCATTTGGAAACATGTTTTTCACTGATTAAATATTTCTTATACTTATTCTTCTATTAGTCATCGTGTGATGGTAATGACGCTTGATCTATTTAACTTATGTCGCGTCAAATTATACGTTACTCTTATTAACAGAGGTAATAGTGGTAAAATCATTATAATATTAATAACTAAAGGGAAAATTTCATAAGTAATAGACTAATTATGGCACATTTCAAAAATAATAAAACAAGTTTCAAATTTCAAAAATCAGATTTTTATTAAAAATTATTTATAATTTAATTATTTATTTAATTATTCTAGTAATTAAATATATTTAAGTCACAGATTTATATAATTTGATCACGAATTAACGATTTAATTCATCACTTATTATTTTTTGGTCACAAATTAGAAATTTTATGTCACAAATTATTTTACGATCACAGTTTAAAAATTTTATGGGTCACAGTTTGTTCATCAGTCACAAATCGAAAAATTTATTAGTCACGATTTATTTATTGGTCATAAATTACAAATATTACAAGTCACACTTATTATACAGTCACAAATTATCGAATTATCGGTATAGATTAACAATTTTTTAGGTCACACATTATTTTTCGGTCACAATTTATCTTTTTTATTGGTCACAGATTAACTAATTTAATACACAGTCAACCAAATAATTTGTGACCACCACCAACACTTACGTTTCACAGTTACAATTTTTAGGTCATGTATCCAATTGTGAGTCACAGTCACAATTTTCATGTCACGCATCCAATTGTGAGTCACAAATCAACCAAACCGCCACAAGCACCACAACCACCGCCACGACCAACTGTGACTCCCAAATTGTGAGTTACAATTTTCAGGTCACAGGTCCAATTATTCGTCACAAAATCAACCAAACTGTCATAACCACCACAGTCACCTTTGCACCACTTCCTTATTCATCACCACTAGCAGCACGAGATCCACAAGCACCATTCTACCTACTACCACAACCTTTGTACCACCGATACAAAGACTACCACCACCAACAACACGAGATCCACCAACACCATCACTAATAAAACCACATCACCTGTAACCACCACATCAACGCAAAATCACCACCACTGTAATCACAGCACCATCGATCAAAAAATCACCAGCACTGTAATCACACCACCACTGATCAAAAAATCACCATCGATCCACACCACCACTATAATCACCACTGCCGATCCACCACACACCAAACTCAAAACCATCTATCATAAAACCACCACAAACTTATCAGAAAAAGAAATGACACAAACC